CACCTCTGACCTTCCTGTAAATTAATACCTTTTCTTCATTATTTAAGCCAAAGAACCAGGGAAGTGTGATAAAAACCCAATCTCTGACTAGTTTCAGAATGACAGCTGGATTCTCTATCTGATCTTCAGTTTTTCATGTCTCCCTAACAGTCTTTCTTCAAAATCAGACAATAAGGTATCGAGAGAGTATTTGGTTACTACTTTATAGATGTTCCTGTATATTTTTATATGCATTTTTACATAACCAGCCAATGATGCTGCCTGAAACTTCTTTCAGACTTTATTGCATGTCTTTTTATTCACATTGCTTATATCATTCTCTATCTCTTCCCTTTATACTTGAACTATAATTTGGTATTATTAATGATTATGCTCTTACAAATTCTGTGTTTGTGTATAATTTATCTTGACAACAAATAAAACAGTGAAAAATGCTGTGTCGTTTTTATTTTTTACTAGTTCCTCTTTTTCTTTCAAAACAATTTCATATTCTGAGAATAATTTCCTCCTGCACACACATCTCATACCTGAATGTTCTTCAGGATAACATTCATGGCTTTTAGAAAATCACCAGGAAATTACTCTAGGACGCTTAAAATGATTGAAGAGGGTTAATGCACTATCTTCTGTACTGTATTGGCAGTCATTATCTAACCTCTCTGGCTAGATACTTTAAGATATTAGGCCACTGAGCTGCATATTCTGGGCAGCTCCTGAGTTATCAAAGGTGTGCAAAGGATGCTAGATACTAGAAAATGACTTTAAAATATACTTCTTAGCAGATCTCATTTTGAAAGCACCAATAAAATATATCAGGAAGATAACCTGATATATATAGTAGCCATAAGGTAACAGATTTTATTCCCCCTCACCCTCCCTTGCCTAAAAAAGACCTATGTCTTGCTATAGATTTATAAACCCACTGGCATTGAGTTGATTCTGACTCATAGCGACCCCCGTTTGGTTTCTGAGGCAGTAAATCTTTATGGAAGTATATTGCCCCATCTTCCTTCCACAGAGTGGCTGGTGGGTTTCAACCACCAACCTTCTGGTTAGAGTCAAATGCCTTAGGGCACTGTGCCACAAGAGCTCCTTATATATTTCTAAGACCTAGCTAAATATATGTGTAAATAAATTGAGAAGACTGGTAGGTTATCTCCAACACAATGAAAAAGAGCACATTATAACTCCATTGAGTGAATGAAGGTACTAAGAATATATGGCTGGGAAACAGTACCTCTATAACTGCTGGGGAAAAGTCAGCAGGATTAAGGGATAAATCTTTTGAAAACATCTAAATTGCTTAGTATGGCAAAGGAAAGAGAGATACTTAAGCAGATGTCAAGATGCATTATCCAAAACAGTATTTTAGTGTTATGGAAGATGATTTCTGAATGAGATATGTTTTTATACTTTTTGTCCCACACTTTTATGAGTTATACTCCTTGAAATCTGCATAACCTGACATAATTTATAATTTAATTTAATTGAGGTGCTATAAGGCACACACCTTAATAAGCTTCAAAATTGCTAATTGGGATAATAAGAAATTACTTGTCTTTTCCCAAATGCCAGTGAAGTAGGTCAGGATAATTAACATACAAGCTGACTTTTCAGTCAAAGAAAAACAAGACAAGTCTCATCTGTGTACTTTTAGTAACATCCATTTTAGATTCAAATGAGTTTAGTCTGGGAAAAATCACAGTATGACTCAGTTAAATGATTGAATTTCAAAATAAGACAAAAGGTAGTTTGACCATGAAATCTGTTTTAAAGAAGGCTAAATTTACATTTCATAAGCAGGGTCAAATTCCACATCTATAAGGAAACTGAAAAACATCTAGGTCATGAATTTAGGAACATTCTGCTTCTTAGATAGCTTTGTAAGCACTAAAACACTATATAATACATATTGCATAATGGTAAGGTATAATATAAATGATAAGAAAAGTTGTTGGTTGATGATAACATAATTCTTCACTCCTATAGGTATAAATAAGATAGGCCATATTTTCATGATTTCTTCCATTATTCCTGCCCACCACCTGCCTGAGGCTTCATATTTTTAACTTCTTGGCAAAAGAAAAATGTTTGGTGCCAATGACAGTAGAGTTAGTTTCTCTGTCGGTCTGTATTTGATTAGTACAAATTCACTTAGTAGGTCAAATCAAATGCTGGCTTCAGAAGGACAGTTAGAAACACACTGCTGTTGGACATTGATTTTCACAAACATGAATTGCTGCTTAACCATGAAGCAGCAGGGTGCTATGTGGTGGGTGGCATGCATATAAGTCTGAGGCTGGTGTAATGGTCATGGCTTCTTTCCTGTGTGTAACTTATGCTCTGCTGACATAACGCCAAGCAGCTTGGTTTGAATATGTAGTCTGGAAATATTTACTCCAAAAGGCCAATCCAGGACAGCCATGAACATGACACCCATTGACTAAACCTTAACTATTCTTTTGAAAACTTTGATTTTAAAGCTGATGCTTCCCAAACAAAGGGCTCTACCAATTGCACACTCCTAAATATTAGAAACACCAATGCAGAAAGACCATCACTGGGAAAGGGAACATACATTCCATTGAATAAGAAGCATCTTCTGGGCAAGCATGAAATACACTAATGTACACTGAGACATCAAGTGGCAAGATTTATGGGACAATACCCAGACAGCAGTGGGGCTTGAAAGATGACGCACTACCTACCACCTTTAGTGATGCAGACCTGACTGAAATAGCATGAGTTGTCCCATAACATTTGCTCATAAAGACAAAATGTGCAATAATAAATATACTGATATACCATCTAGGACTGTTCTGCTTTATGGCAATTATTCCACAAAGAGAGAGCCCACTGGAAAAAAAAAAGGAAAGTACCAGATAACTGCCCACTTAATTCATTTGGGAAACTTAAGAAAAAAAAATTGACATGGGAGTGCATCTACATGGCTAAAAATAAGTCTAATCTACAGAAAAACAGAAAAGGTCAAACGATGCTAAAAGAAAAAGCATCAAAAGCAATCTAATTACAGATGCTCTGTGGAGCGCTAAAAAACCTAAAGGGACAGCATAGGTTGCATGCTTTCCTCTCACGCTCTAGGACATGCTTTCTCCTTTCTGGTCTGCCATACACAATGACTAGGAGAAAGTGTTGGTTAACTAGCTCGTCCTAAAAAGGACAGATTCAATGACTCTACCTGTAACCTGTAGAAATGATGAAATGTTTGCTGATCAGAATTCTCTATTTTGATGGGCTGTGCCTAATTTCTGGCAATAGGTTTTTTTTGTTTGTTTGTTTCAGTGTCCAATTTTAACATTATTTTAAAATGGCTGAGATGAAGTATTTTCTCCAGTATGCTTGTAGAATAAGAAATAAGCGTTACATATTCAGTTGCAGCTGTGGTATAGCACCTGGATGACAAAGGAAATGAAATTTCTAACTCATCTTTAGTTAAATCTTAGAGAACAGTTTGTTAATATTGGTAACAACTATAACATTAAACATATATCAAGCTTGCCAGAAGTCCTACAGAAACCTAGCACAGCTCCCAAATATTTCTTTCACAAGACTTTTATATAATATCTAATAAATGTGAGTGTTGGGGGGCTTGGCAGGTAATGGATGGTAACTACCTTTCCTGTACCAATGGTATACTTTTATAGTGCTTTGCATTGAGATTATGACTAAACTATACATAACATGGAAACTACCTTAAAATATGAGTTTCATTATAAACAACTCTTACATTTTGTTGGTGAATGATAGTATTTAATTCCCATTAAATAATGTAATAAAGAGTCACACCATAAAGGGAAGTTTGCTGTATGCTCTAGTCAATAATCTCCAAAGTGAGTCTCATTTTAAGTGAGCCAAAGTTGGCATCAATATGAGGTTCCTGATCTATTGGTAACATGTGAGTTTTGAGTTGTTTTTTCAGTTGTGATGAACTTATATTATCACATCCTGTAATCAAAGTCCCATGTACTTGTCAAATTGGTTGAAGGATACAGACAGTTTGTATCCTTAACAGAGAAGTCTAAGGCCCTAGGGGGACTAAAACAGTAACTGTGCTTTCATCAGCATTGGCTCAAGTCAGTTGCACTAACTGACCCAGAGTGCATTTTGAATAAAGAGATGCAAACACTTTCATACTATTTCTTCTATACTATTTTTTTTTTCATTTCACATTCAAGATTTATAGCCAAACCTGTATTTTATATCTACACTATAATAATTGCATTACAGTCTTTGCCTTCAACTAACCTGGGTTTTTGAACTGGTGTATCACATTAAGTATAAATAGATGCTTGGTATGGGATATTGGATAAAGAACTTTACCACTACTAAACATATTCTTAATGCTAACAAGGCAGAGAGTAATGTAACTGACTTGTGTCTCTTAAGAGTTGATTCACATAAATAGAGTTTTACAGTCAACATTCATACCAAGAGAGGAGATGGATGCTTTTGGCAAATTGGTTTCTAGAAATAAGTTCAGCTATTTGGAGTTGACAGAAATGCTATGTGAAATTTCTTGTTGGAAAAATGATCTTTTGAATGTTTCCTTTAAAGTTCCTGACAGTGAAAATGGAAGATATGTATGTGTGTGTTCACTTACTTATTCAGCCAAAGCTCTTCTAACACTCTGCTATGAACATTTACAGTTTTTTAACCCAGATTCAGGGATCAACCACTGCGGGCCAGAAGGATGGTGCATGCAAATGAGAAGAAAGTGGATAAGAGAAATAGGAAAGGGAAATGAATACCATCAACCTTATAAGACAAATGAGCAGTTGGAGAAAAGAATTATTTGCTCTGTGGGTGTCCTATGATATAAGCTTCATTACTCATCATTTTTTCCCCAAGTTACTGAATTTCTTATGCAGCAAGACCATTATTTTAAGAAAAAAAAGAAACAAAATTCTGTTTTCTTAAAATAAGTTGAAAAGGTTAAGACTTTCTGTATACAGGCTAAGAATCTCCATAAACATACTTACTTTTTTCTCCTATGTTTTCCCCTGCTGCCTCCCCTTCCTCCTCCTCCTCCTCCTCCTCTTCCTCCACCTCTGTTGGTTGCACATCGTCCTGTGGATCACAGGCACTAACAGGCGTGTTCAGACAGCAGTGGTTGAACCCACTATCTCGAGGCAGAGTGAAACTTCGAGGTTTGCCCCCATTTCCATTTAACACTTGCATCCTCTCGCTCTCAGCTAAGGGATATGGCCCATAGTGATCCTGTAGGTGGCACTTTTGAGTTGGAAGGGTAGACTGCCGCCTGTGCTCTGGGGATATAGCCAAGGAGTCAGAGAAGACAGAATCCTCCAGGGGCAGAGTCTGAAGATAGTGTAATCCTGAGCTTGTCAGCGGCGTCTCAATTAAATCCTGCCAGGAGCGGCGCTGACTGGCTGTCTTGCGTATGGGGGACACTGCACTGCTCCCAGTCACTTCTTGGCGAAACTCTTCATGGGAAGATTGAGACTGAGAGGTCTCTGTGGAGGAAAGCCGGCTGTGTTTTGCTTCCACATAGGGACTGGCACAACTCATCTGTGGAGAGGATGGAAAGGATCAGTCACTTAAGAGATAGCAGATCACTTCTACCCCGAGAAGTGCATTCGGTTGTCACCAGATAATATTTAAGTGAACAGACTTACCTAGTCAAGTTAATGTCTATTCAAGTTTTCAGATATCTCAAAAGTAGACCCAGCTTACATTTCAAAAGCAGAGGCATGGATGTACTGAAATGTAGCTTTACCAAGCTCTCATGAAAAAATCTGGCATATTAATGCAAATATGAGTGCTTAGAAAATATTCAGCAATTGAAAATGTCTGGTTTTAAAGTTTCCACACATTTGAAGCCCTAAAGAGGTACTGTTCCCCAGATTTGTATTCCAGATTTAATGTAGCTTGGGATGAGGGCAAAGAGAGAATTTTTTGGACATGAAAACAAAATGCTTATAAATAAATAGAACCCTTCTTCTTCATCGAAAAGTTGTCTTACAGTCTTGTCACTTTTCAGGCAAATTCTAGAGTGTTAAAAAAGAAATGAAGTCCTAACACATGCTACAACATGAAAGAACCTTGAAAACATGCTGAGTGAAATAAGTCAGTCACAAAAGGGCAAAAATATTTGTCCTTTTGTGACTGACTTATTTATTGTATCATCCCATTTATGTAAAACACCTAGAAGAGATAAGACTACTGAGATCAAAGTTTACTAGTGATTACTAGGCATGGGTGGGAGGGAGGGAGAAAGAGGGACTCATTGCTTAGGGGACACTAAGCTTTTGTTAAGGGTGATAGCAAAGTTTTGAAAAGGAAAACGGTGGTGGTTTAGCAACATGATGAATATAATTAATGGCACTGAATTGTACATATTCAAAATGTTGAAGTGGTAAATGTTTTATTACATATATATTTATCACATTTTTTTAAAAAATGTAGGCAGATAAGATTATACCCTGATGGCGATTAGCATATGCCCTGAGCACAGAGACAAAGGCAAACCAAACCCATTGCTGTCTAGTCAAATTCTGATTTACAGTGATTTCATAAAAAAAAAAAAAAAAAAAACCCACTGCCATCGAGTCAATTCTGACTCATAGTGACCCTATGGGACAGAGTAGAACTGCCCCAAAGGATTTCCAAGGCTGTAAATCTTAATGGAAGCACACTGCCTCATCTTTCTCCCATGGAGCAGCTAGTGGGTTTGAACTGCCGAACTTCTTGCTAGCAGGGTCAACCACTGTGCTTAAGCTTAGACCCTACAGGGTATATAAACACAGAAGGAAAACAGAGTGTTTTTATCCCTGGAATTTAAAATTTGAGAATATAAGTTATAGCACAAAGACCAGTCAAGAAAAAGGATTTGGCATCAAGTGAACACTGTAAAATACTTGCAGATATCCCTACTGCAACAAGCCTTAATCTAGCTCCGGCAACTAACAGATGGGCCCACGCCTTTTTCTGGGAGGAGGAGGAACCAGATTTACTCAATATCAGCATAGCAAATGAAGCCGAGGTGGAGGCCAGGACAAGCCTGGCTGAGGGGAAGGCTGTGTTGCTCCCTTGGGTAAAGTAGAAGTTACTAGGCATTTTCCGTGGGCAGGTTACCTACCTACATGTTTAAAAAATTGTGAATAGTTTCTTTCTTGAAATTTGTAAGTTTAAAGGGCTGTTCAGTGAAACCGCAGTTTTCTTTTCTTCCTCTTTTATAATTATTTCAAAAAAAATGTTCAGATCATGATTCTTTAGGGAAAGAGGAAAAATACAATATACTACATCTTGTCACTGACTGCCTTGTTTTCTGTCTACAGCTTACCCCTTGCACTCTGTTGCATTAGGTACCCTACGGTATTTATTAAAGAAATGTGCATACAGATGGGGTAATTTGATACTTTCCCCCACTTTTCTCCTCTTTCATCAAACATTTTTATTAAAAATGTGACTTCCCCTTTAGTTGTTAGCGAAAAAGTGCCCATTCACTTATTTTATAAATATTTATTAAGCACTTAATAAGTAAGTACCAGTGCTGTGCTATCCCATGGGAATGTACAGATGACCAGAACAGGGTCTCTCTTCTCAAAGAGTTCACAGTATAATACAATGAGTCATTCACAGTCCCAAATACTCTGACTTACTATTAATCAGTAAATATTCTGATTTTTGATGGGTCTGAGCATCTCCATGTCTAAAATGTTCTAGAGGTGATTCTTACACACAGCCATGGTTGAGAAGTAGCCTAGAATGATATCAACTTCTTGTTGTTATTACCACCTAAATCCAGCTTCCATTTCCTACACAGGCAAGATAGGCAGACCCAAGACAGGCAGAATTGATTCTTATGGTCAGCGTGACCATGTAATGAATGTGTTGTCTAAACTGGGACACTACTGAGACACTTTGGTAGTTCTGATGGGAAACGGGCATAAAGTGGGATAGTTTCAAGCAAACCAGGATAGTTGTTTACCTGATTTTAAAAACAAAGTACAGTCTATACACAGAATAATTTACACAGTATTAAGAAGTCCAGGGAGCTCTGGTGGTGTAGTGCCTAAGGCATTTGATTGCTAGCCAGAAGGTTGGTGGTTCAAACCCACCAGCCACTCTGTGGAAGCAAGACTGCGTAATCTACTTCCGTAAATATTTACTGCCAGAGCAGCATGGAAATGTATACATTAAATCAGACCCCATGGCTGACTCAAAATTACATGCCAAAACATGTTCAATACAGATATAATATTAATCTTCATGAGTTGCTTCTAGAGGACATATTAGTTGGAACAGATAAGGTCAATTTTTATACCTTTTCCTAAAAAAACTATTTTTGCTGTTCATATTTCTATGAAGGCTCAAAACAAACAAACAAAAAACTCCAAACTCACTGCCATTGCATTGATTCTGACTCATAGTGACCCCCATTGGGTTTCCATGGCTGTAAATCTTTATGCAAGTAGATTGCTTCATCTTCTTCTGTGGAGCAACTGGTAGGTTTGAACTGCTGACCTTCTAGTTAGCAGCCAAATGCCTTACCCACTACACTACCAGTTCTTTCTATGAAGGCTGCTCTGGCACAAACAGTATATTTTCCCAATAACAGTGGTCTGGTATTTACTCTGCCTGTAATCTGTGGTGACTGTTTCTCCTGATTAAATATTCTTTATATACTTAAAAAAATTTCAGACCTCCAATTTTCCTTCCCCTTAAGAAACCTGAACTTTGTCATGTAACCTGCTACATATAGATACTCTCTAATTTTATTGAGTTTTTGGTAAAGGTTTACACAGCAAGTTAGGTCCCCATTTGACAATTTCTGCACGAATTATTCAGTGTCATTAGTTCTGTTTATCACAATGTGTCAACATTCTCTTTAACTGCATTCTGTTTGTTCCATTTCCAGTACTCTAGTTTCCCTACTATGTAAGTTTTTAACATACAAAAGGATGCTTTTGGTTAAAGAATCTGATTATATAATAAGTACATTCTTGCTGTTAACTTACAGAGGGAGGCCGTGGGTATGTATCATAGGGGGGTGGAGGGCTGTCTTGTTTGGGTGTTGATGGAGTATCTGCTTCTTCCTTGTCACTCTCACTCCAGTAATCTGAAATTTCAGACACATGGGTAATTAACATTCTATTAAATGTTTTCTAGCCATATTTCCAAGAATACACACTATAATTTAAGAAAAGAAAATTTAAACTCCCTTCCTACCCCTCAGGCCCACCAATTTTTATTTTCAGCTGGGTTTTGAGGAGGAAGAATACAATCACCTAATTGCCACCTCTCTTCAAAGCAAGTAATAATATATGCAGTCACAATTTTAGGAAGCTAAGAAAAAGATATTGCATAATCCAAATCAGGTTTATGGTGTTTTAGTTTCCAGGCCAAATTATTCTGAAGCTTCAATTAATGGGTGATATCATATGAGCCTCTTAAATGTATATTGTTTGATCCTAAAGATGAATACTCGAAGAAAAGCAATAGATACATGGCTGAAGCTCTCTACAAATATAATCAGCTCCAAAACTAATGCTCCAAATTCTCTTCTCTAGTTTCAATTCACTAGTTATCTAACAATCACAGTTTCCAGAGTCACGCTGACATCAATCTCCATAACACCATACTCCCACCTCTACTTGGAAACACATGGCAAACCCTGATTCTTGCCAAATGCAAAAGGACAAATTTGCTGATGTGGGCTGAAAATTCCAAACTTCTAGAACTACTTAAAAGGGTAGAAAATACAAGTTGCTAGACAAGGTGACTTGGCAGACCTCAGGCAAGAAGGAGGGGAAGAACTCTGCAGCAGAAAGGCCAATAATCAGAATTGTTCTCAAACACCTTGTAACTGTTGTGTTAATGCTTTATGTGATTTACAAGGAAAAACTCAGAAGTATTACCCATATCAAAGTCAGATGATTAAGGAAAATTAAGGTATTAAAAGAAAAGTTACACTATTCTTAGGAAAAAGCGAATCACAACAGAACCATCACAAGTATTAACTACCATTTACATGTAGTAAAAATCATGGCACCTATTTTACAGGAACACATTTCCATCCAGGAATTCCAGTATTGTAAAATTTGAAGCATATTTTCCTTGCAGTGCTGACTAATACTAACAATAGCATTTACAGCTAACGTCTATTGAGTACTTAATATATGCCAACTAGAGAGTAGTAGGGCCTCGGCAACCCAAGGAGGGGTCGCTATGAGTCGGGTCTGACTCGACGGCACATTACAACAGAGAGCTGGGATTTGAACTAAGAAATTGCCTTGTCTTAAAGCTGTGAAGACCAAGTCACTGTGACTCTTATTAACAGAAAATTTAAATGTGAAGTACAGCAATGATCATGATCATTTAATCCCCCTCCTCCTTCTGCTATATATAACTCTGGCTATTATAAACAGACATGCTTCAGCAATGGAGATTGGGAATAAAATAACTTTCTACTATATTCACGCCTCAAAACACAGGACATCAAAAATTCTATTCCTATGCCAATTATCCCCTTTGAATAAAAGATAGTTTTGTTTTGTTTGTTGTGTGCCATCGAGTCGGACCCGACTCATAGCGACCCCTCCTTGGGTTTCCGAGGCAGTATCACTACGGAAGTAGATTGCCCCATCTTCCTTCCGAGGAGTGGCTGGTGGGTTTGAACCGCCAGCCTTCTGGTTAGCAGTCAAGTGCCTTAGCCACTATGCTACCAGAGCTCCTGAATAAAAGATAAGCAAGGGCTAATCTAAGTTTGTTGCATATTTCTTACACTGGATCATATTGGTGACAGCTAGTATATTAAGTCTCCCTTCAAATATGAATCAACACCATTGCCCCAAAGTGAACCTAGCAAATGCTGGTGGGAAGAGCAGCACCACTTACCATCTCTGTGCTCTTGTGATTTACTTAACCTCTGAGTCTGCTTTGTCATCTGTAGAGAGGAACTAATAATAACTACTTTTCAGAGTTGTATGTGTGGAGGGCTCGTGGGGGTAGTAAATAAGGTAAAATACATTCAAGTGCCTTGTACTTGACAGCAATAAATATCAGGACCCCTTATCTTCCTGGGTGTGTTTGTAGTTAGTATGCCAGAACAGTCTGACCTAGATAACATAAGTGATACATGCATGATGTTCATCGTCTTAGACATTAGGTTCTTCTTGGTGCATGTTCCAGTGATGAATACTAAACTCTCGACTGCTAGGGCATGAGTTGGATAGTTTTGTGGGAGCTTGAATTACTACTGGGAAGTCACTGCTAGCAGTGAAGGAACCAACTTTCCCCAACCTCAGGCAGTCGGCTTGCCAAGATCACTTCTGCTCTTATCATTCCCATATATTTCCAGAAATTGTGGAACCGATGCTGAGTTTCTCATTGATGTTTACACTGATACCTTGGGGTCTTGAAAGTTAGCAATCTCAGGTGGTCCTTATTATTAGCACATTGAGATCACCATTTTATCAAGGTTCTCTGCAGCTTGTCACCATAAGTGATAGATTTTGTGATATTTTCTCCCTTCCTTTTCCCCTCAGTTAAGTGAGGAAGAATTCTAGCCCACTATTTGATGTAAGTTTTAGTTTATTAAAAAGAACCATCAATCTAAAGCTTTCTTAGGTTGCTAATAAAAGGATGGAATACTTCTTTGTAAATTAACTATATATTTCTCACACTAAGCTGGGTATCTTTAAGAGAACAATGCCAGAGAAGAAGCTACAAAGAAAATCTAGTCACGCATTTTTGAGTTTATGTGGAAAATCAGAGGCACACAAGTTGCTCAGAGACTGAAACTAGTGTGACTTTTATTCTAAGAGCAAATAAATATTTTTTTTTAGCTCTCTATATAGCACAAAACAAATGGATACTTTTAATGTCTCTTGCAGTGTTATTGAATTTTATACCTAAGTAATCATGCCATCACAGAAGAGAAAAACTTCCATTTTACATTCTCATGTTGATACTGAAGGACACTTTGAGAAAAGTTGACTTTTTAAATTTAGAACTACCAAAGAAATACAATATATTACATTCATTTTTTTTCTTTGTAATTAAAGCTTTGCATAGACCTTATATCTGATTGAAAATAATACACTAAGAACATTAGGTTCTTCTTGGTGCAAGAAGAACCTAATGGAACCTGGAAAAAAATAGGAAGATGGTTAGCAGATAATTAGCCGAATTGAGATCTTGGCAGAATTCAGTGTAATAAATAATGAAAGGGAACCCCATATTCTTTACACTGCTGGAGTTCAAGACGGGGAGTCACTAAACTTGTTTAAGTTAACACATACATTCAAGTATTCAAATACCTCTAAGCTACACTGATCATTTACATAAAAATGCTTGGCAGTCATTCCTTTGCATCTTTGGAAAATATCACCAATCCTCAAAGCTGTATCTTGTATGATGCTTAATTTCAACTCTGAGACTGGTACTCAAGAGATATCCTATACCCCTACAGAGATGGTACTCAAGAGATGTCCTACAGAGTGTGGCAGATATGCACACCCAGTGACTTTCTATCTGGAACACTGTGGGACCTGATCATGCGGAAGAGAGGAAGTCCAGTATGTATGCGTCCTCTGTTAAAGTGCCCAAGGAACATATACTCTGTGGAAATTAAAATTATTTCAGAGATGGAGGTTGCATACATTGTAACTATTAGCTTCTGCCTGTGATTTTCTACCACATTCCAGTCAGTAGGTCTATTTGGAAGACTATATATTACCTTCATTAAATTTTGGGTATGCCATATGCACTAAAATGCCATACTCACATGAAAAAGGACAGCACGAATCCAGGGACTAAATACGTTTTGCAATCTGCATAAAGTATATAACTTACTAATTCTTTCATCCACAATGAAATTTGGCTATATAATATCACATAGTACAAATGAAATTCACTAAAATCAAGACCATGCTCAGCTTCAAAGTAATGCTGGGTGATAAAATATAGAAGTTAAGCCTGAAAATCTTTATTCATGCATATTGACTGTTTTCAAAGATTCCTTTTCCTATTAGTACATTGCCCACACTTCTAATTCTTGCATCTCTGAAAAACTCAGAGATAGATTTACATGTACTTTTAAGGAAGTGCTTCAGCCTTTTAAAGATAATTGAGATGGCAGGCTGGTGTTTTTATTTTTGTTTAAGAAATGCATCAATAATGACTGATCTGATACTTCGTCATCTTGGCTGGGATTTGCTCATGCATACTGATTTGATGGAGACGGCTTCCACGCAATTTGTGGAATTATCCATGCCGTTCCCACTACAGAAATGTTTTATTGTGCTACTTCCTTGCGTCCACATCCTTCTCATCCTGCAAGAACCATTTCGATAATGGAGTCAACATAAAGCCTTTCCCCTTTTTCCTCCTGGAAGGGATCTCTCCAATCTCTTATTCTCAGGGATCCTGATTTCTATTTTAACTCTATTGCATTACATTTTCTATATTGTACTAAGAGTAATGTAATTTCAGGAAGGATAGGTGCCTAGTTCACCTTCACACAGTTAGAATGCCTCATTGAGGACCTTAAACAGAAGCACTTAAAATCAAATAAGATATTTTCTCTCCCTTTCCACCACCAACTTTAAATAAGGCTCATTAGTCACTTTCTCCAGCAAACATTTCCTCATTAAATTCGCTCCCTTCTCAGGCTTTTTTTTTTTTTAAAAAAAAAACCACTTTGTATCCACATAGCAATTTTTCCATCAGTTGCTACTGTATAAGAATTAGAACCCATTTACCTATATAACCAAAAAACCAAACTCACTGCTGTTGAGTCAATTCGACTCATAACGACCCCTCCTTGGGTTTCTGAGGCAGTATCTCTATGGAAGTAGATTGCCCAGTCTTCCTTCCAAGGAGTGGCTGGGGGGTTTGAACCGCCAGCCTTTCTTTTGGTTAGTGGTCAAATGCCTTAGGCACTGTGCCACCAGAGCTCCATTTACCTTTATGCTGCTCTTTGTTTTTTCTTAAGCAACTTTAAGTCTGTATTGTTTGTGGTCCTCAAGGCGATAAATCTTTAGAAATCTTCCTGCCCCACTGCCTCACACCATACCTCTCCTATTCCCTCATCCCATGGTCCTAAATCAGAAGTCAGTAAACTACAGCCTGAAGGCCACATGTGGCCCTCTGCCTGCTTTGATAAGAACTGTGGGCCAAGAATGGTTTTCATATTTTCAAAAGGCAGGAAAAAAAATTAAAAGAAGAATATTTCTCATCTCATGAAAATTTTTAAAAATTCTAATTTCCGTATCCATAATACTGTTTCACTGAACACTGCCACACCCCTGCACACATGTATTATCTGTGGTTGCTCGTGTGTTACAACAGCAGAGGGGCAGAGTAGTTAACAGGGAATCTCTGGGCCACAAGGCCTAAAATATGTACTATTTGTTCCTTTACAGAAGAAAAATTTGCTAGCCCCTGCCCTAAACATTTGTTAGCAGATGGGTTTTGTGATCTGGTAATCTTTTTTAGATCACTATATCCTTTAAGTTTTTAGATGTTTTTTTTCCAAACATTTTGGCTGAGATTTTACTATGAGTTTAGAGAAAACAAAATTTTCAGAATCTTCCCATTGACAAACTGGATGTGCCCACTGGAAAGACAACTACAAATATATTTCTGTTTGTATGTGTATCAATCTGTGGAATCCTTTTAACTTTGTTGTTGTTGTTGTTGTTATGTGCTGTCGAGTCGGACCCAACTCATAGCGACCCTTTCTTGGGTTTCCGAGGCAGTATCACTACGGAAGTAGATTGCCAAACCTTCCTTCCGAGGAGAGGCTGGTGGGTTTGAACCACCAGCCTTTTGGTTAGCAGTCAAGTGCCTTAGGAACTTTAGGCTGTCTCAAATTAAAAAACTACTTATGCTTCCAAGGGTTACATGGCAAACATTCTTTGAAAAATGTAAAGCCATCTCAGAATGGTGACCACAGCTTTTGTTATTGTTAAGATTTCTATTCTACACCATGATATTATGCTTCATAAATCTGAGGTCAAAACTAAGATAGTTCTATAAGATTACAGCGTTATATAGTAACAGAACTGAAGAATATAACCAAATGAGATAATTTATTGAATAAGAGATCATTCATTTGAGTTCTTTGCAAAAAAGGCCTCTTAAATGTCTATGAAATTGGGAAAGAGAAAACAAAACAATTTACCACTGAGGACTTGGACTTGGGTCAATATATACAACCAATTACACCAACCAAATCAAACCCACTGCCATCCAGTCGATTCTGACTCACAGGATTTCCAAGGTTGTAAATCTTTACAGAAGCAGACAGCCACATCTTTCTCCTGTGGAATAGTTGCTGGGTTCAAACCACCAACCTTCTGGTTTGGAACCAAGTGCTTTAACCACAGCACCACCAGTGGCCCTTCCACAAACAATTACAGGCTTTTACATTTTCTTCCCCCATAAGAAATGAACTGAAGGAAAGGGCAACAAATAAGAGAGAATTTCACACTACATGCTCCAAAAATTCTCTTTCTGTTCAGTTTACTAAACCTTCCTTATAAGGTGCTATGCGCTGGATACAAAGTTCCCAAAAGAAAAAAAAAAAAACAAACACGACTGGCATATGCATTTTTTTTCCTCAAGTCATAGTGGTGAATCCTTGTACCTTGGAGGAAAATGGTAAGAAAAAAGTATAATGCAACTGTGAAAATAATATTCCTTTACCTTGTTCTTGCTTGATCCTCTCTCTTTCTGCATATCCTGCAGTCAGCATATTAATTCTGTTAAGCCACCTGAAGAAAGAAATATTAGTCAGTAATTTCTTAATACTTCTTTAAAAATGTTTAAGACATTTCAGAATACGAGGAATAATTCTTCATGTAAGATGTGCTTTTTGCTACTCTTGACACATGGAGTCTTCAGTGAGCTATAAGTTGATGTAGTACAAATTGCTCCCACATTAAAGATGCTATTTCAATTTAAAAATCTTACACACAGATAGCTCTTAATATTTGCTTCAAATGTAGGACTCCAAATATTCCTGCTGATCTGTTTCTTCAGAACACTCCTTTAGAGATATTTAAACAATATCAGGTCTAATTTGTCCTGATAAAGGAAAAAGTTATGAAAATTGACAGTCAAAATAATAGGTTTTTTTATGAACAATAGTTTTAATGAAGCTCATTTAAGTTTAATGATACAAGAGGAAAAATATCTTGAGAGTACTTCTGAAACTTGTTTTTAAATGCAAGGATATTAGGTTTTCCAAAAACACAATGATTATATACAATTTTAACGTCTGCTTAGTCCTGAAAATTAATTTCTGTGAGCAATAGTTAAAAATAAATCTTAGCTATTCTTTTCTCTTTCAGTGGTGCTGCTACTGCCAATGAAGGGGACTGCCTGAAGCAAAGTATGATTTCAATCTCCTTCTTTTGTCTCACCAGGGCTTTTCCTGTGTTCATTACTCCAACCACTCACATTGCATCAGATTATCAACTCACAAAATCTTTAAACTACCATGACACTCTTCCATTGGTAAATCCTAAGTTATGATTAAATACTTTCTGAAATCAGAAATTAAGGAAGAACCCACCAGCCAAACTAGCTTGGGTAAGTATGGAATCACTGTTGTTGTTGTTAGGTGCCATCAAGTTGTGTCCAACTCATACCGACCCTATGTCCAGCAGAATGAAACATCGCCTGTTCCTGTGCCAGCTCCATGATCCCTGCTATACTTGAGTCCATCGTCACAGCCATTGTGTCAATCCATGTCATTGAGGGCCTTCCCCTCTTTCATCGACCCTC